AATCTGTCCCCCATCCTCTCAGGAAGCTCTTCAGGGGAGGAGCTAGCCCCACGCTTCCTGGGGCACATCTGCCCTATGGGCAGGAGGCAGGGGGGGTGGGATGAGTCACTCCATGGGCATGAAGTGCTGGAGAAGGCAGTGGTGCCCAGCCACACAAGTACCCCTCCTCTCTCATCACTTCTGGAACAGTCTCTATGGCTGCCCTCTCCTCAGAAGCCACCAAATCCCCTTCCCACTCCTCACCGCCCCCCCCACCCCCCCGCCACCTCAACCCGGCTTTAGTTCCCAGGACCTCGCTGGGCCAGGCCTGCTCAGACTTGGTTCCCTCCCATGACCAGCTCCTCACCCCCTCTCACCTACTACCCCGGGACCAACCTATCTCTGCTTCTTTCTAAGTTCACTCCAATTTTTAAGTTTTAATCTAGGACACTGGTTCTCAGCTGGGGCGAGCCCCTCCACCCCGGGCACAGCTGGCAATGCCTGGAGACACTTTTGGTTGTCATCAGTGTAAGGTGCTCCTGGCACCCGGTGAGTAGAAGCCAGGGACACTGCTCAGCATCTCAGGGCGCAGACGGGCCCACCGGCTCTCCCCGGCCCCGTCCATAGACCTGAGGCTGAGAAACCTGGTCGGTAAGATGGGAGCAACGACACGGCTCTGCCTTCTCCCCTCCCAGACCCTTGACTACCTGTGTACCCAGTTCAGCCTCAGGAGCTGGGGCCCCTGAAGACTTCCTCAAACCTTCCCCAAAGGCACCTTTTCCTCCTGGGAGAGGGAGAAGGTGGGGTCTCGTCTCCAGCCGTTGGCTTTAAGGACATGGGCATACGGTGGGGGCAGAATGCATGGGCCTCAAACAGCTGGAGGAGACCCCTCCACCTCAAGTGGCGGACAGCCAAGTTCATAAGACTCTTGACCACCAGTGGGTTTCAATCCTGACTTGGCCACTGAGTCACTGTGTGACCTGAGCAAATGGCTTGGCCTCTCTGTGTCTCAGTTTCCTCACCTGTCAAATAAGATGAAGGATAATGAACTTAGCTCATATGGTTGTTGTGAAAGTTACATTTAAGAGGCTTGTGACGCTCTTAGGACAGTGCCTGGCACTGAGTAAGTGCTATCTGCGTATAAGTAATTGGAAAAAAAAGATTGACGCTGTTTTCAGGCTCATCGGCAGGAACTGGGTCTGGGGAGGCAGACCTGTGTGCTCAGCCAGGCTCTCAGCCCAGCCTGCAGCGTCCTCCGGACAGAGAGCATGCGCAAGCCCCGTGCCTCCAGCACCCCCTCCCCCTCCCTGGCTCCAAGGCCCTGGCCAGAGCTCAGCCGCTATAAGCCTCGCTACCCACCTTCGGTCCCCCAAACTTCAAGTTTCCTGGCTATAGTCTCCTCGCAAAAGGTGAGGACCCAAGCTCCTTTGATTGGCTGGTGTGCCAAGGCCAAGGCTCAGGGAGAGGCAGCCATGCCAGGCCCAAGCCCTGAAGATGCCCTACACAGCTCACAGGGAGGACCCAGGGAGATAACACCGAGGGCCCGCTAAGCCCAGGCCTCTGGCTCTTACCCATAAATGTCCACCAGGGTCTCCACGCCAGCCACGCACACGGCACTGGTGGGATGCTCCAGGGACACTCGCACGATCCTCTGCAGGGACATGCTGGCCTCAGACTGGGCTGGGGCCACAAAGCCCAACTCTGCCTACCTACAGGCCCCCGGGCCAGTGGTTTAAAAGACCCTGGCCCTGCCCTTCCAGCCCAGGGTGCTAGCTCATTGGCTGCCGTGCTGGAAGCCCAGCCCCTTCCTAGAGCCAGGACCTCTGGATTGGCTGGAGGAAATCTGATTTGCATATGAACTTGTTGCTTCCACCCCAGCACTGAGGGAGTTAATTTCTGGCTTTAAAGGGGAGCAAGTCGCCACAGGTACCTGGTCAGGGCTCCAGGGCCTGGGAGGGGGGGAGTGGGGGTACAGAGCTGTGCAGTATTGGTCTGTGTCCCTCACTTTCCATCCTCCTCATCCCCTTTTCCTGCATTCTCAGAGATGATTTGCTTTAGCGGGGAGCTTCTCCACCCTGCTGGGGAGGTGGCAAAATGCAGATTTCTGGGCCCGGCGTCCTGTCTGATGCATCTGGATTCTTTACAAGCGCCCCAAAGAATGATGCACTTTGAGGAACACCAGCCTCTTCCTTTAAGAGTGTGGATTTTAGAAGCAGGGTTGGATGTCAGCCCTGGCTCCGCCACATCCTGGCTGGGTGACCTGGGGCAAGTCACTTAATTGTTCTGTGCCTCACTTTTCACATCTGATAAGTGGCTGTTGTGCGGCTTAGATGAGACAACGTGGGTAGCGCTCTAGCACAGAGCTTGGCATTACTTCATGATGAGCGTTGTTGTTATTGTTGTTATTATTATTAGATACCAAAGCCTCTGGGAGGGGCACGCGATGAGGGTGAAAAAGCTCTCTGACCAGGGGGAGCTTAGGAGGTCAGAGCAGGCTTGCTTTTCAGGTGGGGAAACTGAGGCCAGAGCGGACTTTCCGGCACCTGGAGGAACTGCAGGAGCAAGGGCTCTGGCAGGAGGAGTCTTGGGTTCAGACTCCACCATGAACAGGGCTCTGGGGCCTTGGTTTCCTCGTCTGTAGAGAATGTGGCTAATCACCGGCCCTGGCAGAGAGCGAGGCGGGGCACACCCTGCCCCAGAGGCTCAGGAGGTGCTGAATAGAGGTTTCCTCTCTTCTCCCTGGTGCTGCTGATGGTTGGGGCCAGCTGGAGACCAGGATCCGCCTCCCAGAGTCCCCAGCTAAAGCACTTGCCGAAGTCGGGGACCTCAGCAGGACTCTAAGACTGGTGCTCCAGTCTCCCAGTTTCTGGGGGGAAGTTCTTCTCAGAGACAACTGCTGGGCTGCTGGGTCCGGTGACAGCTTCTCGTTTTGGGCTGTAAAATGCTTGGTGGCTGACTCCGCTCTGGATAAGAGTTTGAGCTCAGGAGAAGTCCTAGACAGCCTCCTCAGCCCACTGTGAGCACGGTTGGGAAATAGATTCAGGAAGTGGGGGGCTCCCCCCCCCGCAACACTGGGCACTGGCCCACTGCACTGGGAAAAGAGCCCCAACTCTCCCTTTGGCAGCAGACCCAGGCCTTCACCTCTCCCCAGTGATGACCAGCTTTTAGGAACAGATCGGTGGCTCGTTCAGACTAAAGTGCCAATGACGGATGGCAAAAAGTTTTTGCCTCTAAGCCCACAAGAAAAGCGAATATAAAGTGAATGAGTGGGTGAGTGAGTGAATGTCAAAGGGTGCGATCTGAGGCAGCAACCAGTGTGTAGGATGCGAGGGGAGATACTTTCAGATCTGAAACCAGACCGCTGAGTAACACGGTGGCTTAGAGGCAGAAATGAAAGGGAGTCAGTGGCATGTGACCCCGGGCACCAGTCCCCCTGGGGACCCCCCGGCTTCTGTCAATAGCCCCAGTGGTCTTCCCTCTAAGAGACGGCAGAGGTAGCCCAGGAAGGGACACGAAATGGAGCAGCAGGGCCCACCTCCGCTGACAGCCATCTCAACAGGGCCTTGGCCCCAGGCAGCGGGCATGTGCCAGCCATCCTGATGGAGCAGCCCGCCTGGCTGCCTGGTGGTGTAGTAGGTGAAACTTTCTTCCCTCCTCCTCACAGCCCCGCAAACAAAAGCGAAGGAGGCGGCCCCTTGAATAAATGCATGTTGGCATTTTTATTAATCAGAAAGGAGGTGACCAGTCACCCGGTCATTTTCAGAGGGAACATCAGTGTCCCCCAGCAGCCCCTGCGGCAATCCCAGCGCTTCACACACCCAGCGCCGCTCTAGGGACTTGCTCCCCATTTCTCTGCAGTGCCTCCTCCCCTCTCCGCCCTTTACCCCTGGGGTCGCAGCCCCTGAACATCTCCCTTCTCCTCTTGGCTCAGTCTAGGTTTCCTCGTGATGACGATCAGAGAATGAGCAGGTAAGACCAGGGGCTTGCAGACGGGGTCCCGACAGAGCCTTCTGGAAGGGGAAGGTTCAGGTACGCCGCCCTCGCCAGCTTACACCAGAGCTGGTCCATTTTTATTCGTTTCCTATGTTGGGTTTCCACATAAGCGTCTGGTTACTAATAGAGTTTAACAGTAGCTGGCTCAACCCAGGTCTCACCAGGGGCCGCTAAAGACCCCGAAGGTGAAGGTCCAGGGGCTGGGGGCCCCCGAGGGGGCCCCTCAAGCAGTGGGAGACAGAGCAGAGGTCTGCTCCCTGCTGCCCAGGCCTGTCAGGGGCAAGGGCCACCTCTCACCCTGCACTGGCCAAGCCTGCCTGCCTGTGCACGGCCTGGTGACCGCCCCCGGGGCCGGAGCATTGACCCCTGTGGCAGCTGGATCTTCCTTTCTAGACAAGGGGACACAGGGCTGTCACGGGGGTTTACCCACAGGTGAAACCCAAGCTACGCTCCGGGTCTTGGGGGTTGCTGAGGGAGCCTGGCCAAGCCTTTCCCTCCCACTGCTGGCAGAAGGAAGGGAATAATTAGAGACTATTAAAGGGAATTAAACCCCACCTTCAGAGATAGCCTAATGGCCCCCCACCCTCTTCTCACATCCGGGCCCCTCCCTGCTACATCTGGAACAGCCCGCTGCCCTCACATGCGGAGTCCAGAACCCAAGGCCCAGGAGCCCGGGACGCGGAAGCCCGGCCCCCGCTTCTGTCCGGTGCCTCAGCCCTCTCTGCCAGCCTGGCATCCCCCTCCTGACAGGCTTCCTGCCAGGCTTCCTGCCTTTGATGCCCTCCCAGGCCTCTCTTTGACCTCGTAGCCTTTTTGAGCTGGAAGCAGCCAGTACTCGTAATTAAAGGCTTTCCACGCAGATAACAAGCACCCTTCTGAGGAAAGAGTCAGGCATGAAAGGGTTTTTGTTGCCTTTTTTTCCTTTAGAAGCAAACCCTCCACGCTGGCTTCTCCTGTCCTTATTTGCCTATGTAAACCCGGTTGAGGGGGCTGGGAGGTCAAGCTACCACATGTGTACAGGGTGCAGGAGCCACAGGTGGCCCGGACCCAAGGCCCTCACGTCGGAGCCCAGGCTCCCTGAGCCCCATTCCTGGTAGTTGGAAGAGAGGATGACAGCTGGCAAGCACAAAGGGCCCGTCAGGACAGACGGGGAGCGATTCCAAGGGGGTGCCCGCCACGGCCACGCATCGCCGCCCTTGAACACGCCAGAGCTGTTGGTCTTCTCCAGGGCCCCCGGGAGCTGTGATGGAGAGGGGAGAGGGGAGGCTGAGGGTGGTCCTTCTCGGGCGGGGCAGGCCCCTCCAGAGGTGAGGATGTGTGGTGCCCATCCCTGTGTCCCCGTGCCCACGGTGGCCAGCACGTTTGCAGGCACTTGAGGGATTGTGCCTAGCAGGCCTCCCCCTATGGAGGCTAGGAAGAGGTTCCTTGCTTTCGCTCTGGCGGGCTTCCCAACAGGTGGGCAGAGAGAATGGCGGGGAGGGAGCAGGCTCAGGGCACCATGTGCCACCACTTGAAGGAGAAGGGCTGCCGGCGCACGTTGGTCCCGCAGTGGATCTCCCCGAGCAGCTTGTGGTAGGACAGGTAGTCGTCGATGAAGACGCAGTGGAGGCCCAAGGGCTCCAGCAGGGACCGCACCTTCTCCTCCAGGCAGCAGCGGCCGTTGATGATGGGCCCGTAGGGCTTGGGGATGCCCAGGTACTTGCCTAAGACTACCATGTTGACCTGTAGAAGAGACAAGGCAAGAGGGAGGCCCGGCTGGCTGCGGACACCCGGCACATGGGGAACCCTTCTGGCCTGTGGCTCTGGCAGACCCATCCCTAGGTCCTGTCCCACCCTGGCCAGCATCCCTGGGCCACCAGGGCTGGGGCTCCCTCAGAATGAAGGTCCTGCCCAGCTGGCGTGGCTCAGTAGTTGAGCATCGACCTATGAACCAGGAGGTCATGGTTTGGTTCCTGGTCAGGGCATGCAGGAGGCAGCAGATGGATGATTCTCTCTCATCATTGATGTTTCTATATCCCTGTCCCTCTCCTTTCCTCTCTGAAACCAATAAAAATATATTTTAAAAGAAAGAACGAAGAATGTCTATGGAAGCAGAGAAGAAATAGATTCATGGTTGGAAGAGAGGATTGATAACCAGCAGGGCTGTCAGTAACATACATGGGAGATTTATATAAAGACACACCGTCCTCTACCCCTTTCTCCCATCCATCAGAAAACTGTCACAACAGCTTGGTAAGAATAAGAGTTTACCATTATCTGACAGAAACGTGTACAAAAAATATGCCATCGCCCTCGCTGGTTTGGCTCAGTGGATAGAGCGTCAGTCTGCGGTCTATAGGATCTCAGGTTCGATTCCAGTAAAGGGCACATGCCTGGGTTGAGGGCTTGATCCCCAGGAGGGGGTGTGCAGGAGGCAGCCAATCAGTGATTCTCTCTCATCATTGATGTTTCTATCTCTCTCTCCCTCTCCCTTCCTCTCTGAAATCAATAAAAATATATCATACACACACACGCGCGCGCACACACACACACACCCACATACACCACCTACCCGGTCTATGGTGTGAATGTCCTTGTGGGGCTAGTGCATTTGTTCAGTGTGCAGCTTGCTCAGCTGTCCCTGGAAGCCCGGATAATCCCAGGTAATGATCACCATGTACTGAGCACCTACTATGTGCCAGATATAGCATCACTAGCCCGCACAGCCTTCCTCTGAGGCTGTGATTGGGACAGGTCTGTAAACATGCTCAGGCCACACAGAGAAGTGGAAGACTGAAATTTGGTTTGGTCTGACCATTACCAAGACTCATACTCTTTATCCTCTGCCAGAATGGAGCACTATGGCGGCCTGGGGCTGAGGCTGGGGCAAGGGGCTGGGAGCCTTTGGGGGCACCTGGGTTTATCTCCGGTGGGGCCCTGGCTGGGGGCCTAGAGGTGGGGAAGGGACATCTCCCCAGTGCAGGGTGTGGAGGTTTCTTAGAAGAAAGGCCAGCCCCGGCTTGATGGCCAGAGGAGGGGACATTCTGGACCTGCTTCTAGAGGCCACCTCAGTATGGGGTGAGCTGTCCTGGACCCTGTGGCATCCCATTCTCCAAGCCCTAGCCCCTCACCCTCAAGTCTGTCCTGCAGAGCCATCTAGGCTGGAAGCAACATCAAGCTGGGGGGTCTCAGGTCAGCTCCATGGCCTTGGCCCTGAGCGACCCCCTTGCTCACTAATGGGCCAGGACTTGCCAGGGAAGGAGTGAGGCCGGGAGACCAAGGGGAGGGAGAGGAGCCAGGTGCAGGGTTCAGGACAGAGCCAGACAGGTGGGCCCCTCCTGGATGAGGACTCAGGAGACGGAGGCTGCTCCCTGGCTCGCTGGGGACCATGGGCAAGCCAACCCCTCCCCTCTGTGGCCTCAGTTTCCCCATCTGACAAATGAGGGGTTAACTCAGCATTCCCTAGGGGCCCTTCCAGTAAACACAGACGGGGACCCTATGGCGTGTGTTGGGGAGTGGGCTTCTGGCAGGTGTGGGCAAGGCCACAGCCAAAGGAGGGCTGACCTAGGTCATGGGCTCTGACCCAGGCCTTACCAGCAACCCTCAGCCGGGCCAGAGCTGGTCGCCCCTTAGAACTCTATGTCCAGTACGGTAGCCACTAGCCCCCTGTGACTGTTAAAATTCAAATTAAAGTAAAAGTTTGGTCAACCACACCAGCCACAGTTGAAGTGTTCAGTAGCCACACGTGGCTCAGTGGCTCCCATGTCATGTTGTGCAAATACAGAACATTTCCATCACCCCAGAGAGTTCTAACGGCACTGCCTCAGGACGGTGGTTCTCCACCAGGGGGGATTTTTACCCCCCGGGATTGCTGCTGGCATCATGTAGGGAGGGGACAGAGATCCCCACATCCTTTCCCAAGGGAATAATGGGCACTTTGGCCAGGACTGTGCTGATAGCATCGCGCAGGCCCCTCCCAGGGGCCAGGCTGGTGAGCTCACAATCTCTCACCTGCTTGTCAGCTGCCGAGCTAATGACAGCCCGGGAGGTGGCTGCCACCTGCCCCACCTGCTGGGCCCAGGAGCCCCACTGGGGAGTAGAGAAGGCGGCTGAGGCCCAGAAACGGAAGCCCAACACATTTGGAACCAAACCACACTTTCTTTTCCCATTTGGGGAAAACCACGCCCTGAGTCGTGGGGCTGCGGGAAGTTGTGCAGCGTCCCTGCCCTGCCCCACTGGGTACCCCTCACGGAGGCAATCCAAAGGGCCCAGGTTGAGAGCCACTGATGGACGGCCTGTGTTGGCACGGAAAACACACACATGCTGGAGGGTGCGGGCCACCCCGGCTGTGCCATCTGTCCCTGTACGGGGGTGCTGTTCTCTGGAGGCCCAGCGGGGTCCCCACCAGGCCCCAGGAACCAGAACAGCCCCGTGCTCTCACCATGTCGGGGAAGAAGGCTTCTGCGTGGGGGCCCCTCAGGTAGAAGAGCTGGGGGATGTCCACGATGTCCCGCTCCGTCAGGCCCAGCTCCCGCTTCAGCACCTGCCGGTTCCAGTCGATGCATTTCTGGGGGTTGAGTGAGGATCCAAGGTTTGCAGAGTGCCTACTGTGTGCAGCCTCTGTGCCTTTTAGCTCCTTTGAGCTCCTTTGATCTTTGTGCCATTGCTACCCGAAGGTGGGAAAACTGAGGCTCAAATGGCCTTCCCTCGGGCCCTGCCCTACCCTCAGGTCTCAGCAGCCCCCAGCTGCTCTCTCTGGATAATGGGGGACCCCCAAGAACAGGCAGCAGGCCTGTCCCTCACCTGTACATAGAGACTGTCGCTCCGGAGGCTTCTGTCGGCCAGCAATTCATTAATGCTTCTCTTCACCTTCTCCTCTAACCCTGCAAGAGAGAGAGACCGTCCATGGGCTCAGGGAGTCCTGCCCAGGCCACCATGGGCCCAGGCCTTCATGATCTGGGCCAGAATTTCCTCCCCACCTCAGTGCCAGGGCCTGAAGCAAGGATGGAGAAAGCCAGAGATGGAAACCCTGATAGGACCTGGCTCTGGCTGCCAGTAAATCCTGGGGATGGATCACAGACCCCTTGGGAAGGGACACCTGGGTTCAGGGCCTAATCATCTCCATACAGTTACCTTTACTGGATACCCACCATGTTCTGGGACTCCCGCTGAGTTTATTATTAACCTTTAAAGCACTGCCAGGTAGGGTTCATTATCTCCCAATTCAGAAAGAGGAAACGGAGGCACTGAGAGGGTCAGAGCGCATCTGTGATGTCACAGCCAGCAAATGGCGAGACCAGGATTTGGACCCAGGTGTCTACCCAGGCCACAGGCCACTCCACAGCCCTTCCCAGGCCCCATTCCTCAGGGGAGAGCTCTGAGCTCTGTCGGGGGGAGAGGAGGGTCTGTCAATTCCCAAACGAGGGTATAAAAGGGGCCCTGACCACCCCCCTGGCTGCTGGGCTCCCTTCCCTTAAGCCCCTAGCCCTGCTGCTCCCTGCGGCTCGGCCCTGGGAAAGCCACCTCCCTCTGAGTCTCGGTATCCTCCTCTGTGAAAGGACATGGGAGATCCGAAGGGGGGAGAACGCATGCCCTGCACAGGATGGCACAGCCATGCTCATTGCTTCCTGCTCTTTTCCTCTCCCGGGGTGTGGCCAGGCACCGCCCACTGGATGGAGGAGGTCCCCGCCTTGGGTGTGCCTAGGGCAGATCACCACCTCGCAGCTCCCTTTCCTAGCCCAAGAGAGGGAGCGCCCTCATCCTTAGGTCCCACGTGAGAGTCAGGAGAATTAGTGACGTCCGGCTCTGAGCGCAGATCTGCAGACAAAGGGCCTGTAGACGGGCACAGTCGGGAAAGGCATCAGCGGTGCCCAGGGCTGGCAGTGTAAGGGCAGCGTCCCCGCAGGACCCTGGGTCACTGGCACTCACCGTCAAACTGGACCGCCTTCCCGTGGCCCTCCTCTTTCTTCTCTTGGAACAGTTTAAGGCAAGCGCTGGGGCTCGCCAGGAGCAGCCGGAAGCCCTGGCACAGAGGGAGGGAGAAGAGCTCAGTGCACGGGTTCCCCCTAGATGCAGGAGACCCCAAACTCGGGAGGGGCCTGAGTTCAGAGGCCAGAGCGCGCACGGACACTCCTCTCCACCTCAGCGTCACCCACCGGCTACAAAGAACTACCAACAGGTCCTCCAAGCTGGTTCAGGCCTCTAGGCCCTTGTCCATGACATTCTCCCTGCCTGGGGGTCCTTCCCTGCTTTACCCACCTGGGAATGCACCCCCCCCCCACCCCCCGTCCCAGGCTGCTTGCTCCCTGAAGGCTGTGCCCTCCCTGGCCATCTCTGCAAGGCGGTAAAGTGAGGGATTAACATATTGGCCCAGAGCCTACTGTCTGGGTTTGAACCTTACCCTACCTGTTAATTGCCCTTCTGAGCCTCAGTTTCCTCATCTACAAAATGGGGGCAATGATAATACTAGCCACCTCATGAGAATTAAATGAATTAAAACATGTACACAACATAGGTGCTCAGTAAATGTTACCAATGTTTTATCACTGTCATTTCACAAGGGTCTTGGCTGAGTGGTGTGGATCAGAGGAAACACCCGGTAAGTGTGAGAATGTGTGTGAGTAGTGAGCCACTGAGTGCCCCCCTGACCTGAGCTCTAACCTCCTCCAAGAAGCCCTCCAAGATTAATACCCCCTGGCCTCAAGGGTACCCTGCCTCTGAGCTCAGTATGGATTAGGTGTTCAGTTGGTCCCAAGTAGCTCTGCCCTGTTTCATCCCCTCAGGTCAGGCAAGGGCAGAGGTGGTTCACGCAGGAGAGGGGGCACACCTTTTGGTCGGAGGTGGGCACGAAGGTCAGGAATTCATCCACGTGGCCCACGGAGAGCCAGTCAGAGTAGAGCTCCACGGGCGCCTGCACCTGCTGGGCCTGCAGGAAGTCACGCACCACCTTGGCCATCCGCCGCCCACCTGTCCTGTCGGGGGAGGGAGAGAGCGGCCATCACCTCGTGGTGACCTGTGGGTGTGGGGTCAGATGCAGGGCCCTGACGTCTTCCACAGCTCAGAGTTTTCGAGGATGTAGCACATCTGAGGATGTGGAATCTGCATTTTGACAAGCATCTTAGCTGACTCAAGAGAACCGCTGCCCCGCTCAGTTTGTGGTTCTTGAGATGAAGTCTGAGCATTTTCAGACCACCCTTTATTAGCAGAGACAGGGAAGGAGGGAGGACGAAGGTGGCCTAGAACAGGGGACAGGGGACAGGGGAGCAGGAGCTGGAGTCCCAGAGCTGTGGGAGACGTTACCCAGGCAAGGGCCATGTCCCTGTTTCACAGATGAGGCAGCTGAAGCCTTGTCTAAAGTCAGAACAATATATACTTTCCTTGACACAAGTAACCATGTGCAAACACACGGTCAGAGGTTTTTTTCAATATGTTTTACAGAAAAGGGATCACCTTCCTTGCCCTGGCTTTTCAGTTTAAGGACCTATGGATGAACTTCCAGCCCGAATCCAATCTGGTGGTTCTACCTTAAACAGAACACAATCTGGCCTTTCCCAGGCTCCTCCTCTGCCACCACCCAGCCCGTGACACCTCCCTCACCTAAATAATCCCGGTGGCCTGTCCCTTTCCCCATTCTCTCAGCTTTCAGCCTTGCTCCTCCGCAGCCTAGCCAGAGGGAAGCTTTTAAATATGTCAGAGCATGTCCCTCCTCAGGACAACACCCTCCCATCCCTCCCATCTCACTAACTGTAAATGCAAAGTCTTCAGAAGGACCTGCACAGCCCCACCAATCCTGACGTCCCCCCTCCTGCCACTCTCCTCTTCAATCACTCAGTTCCGGCCATGCTGACCTCCTGCTGTCCCTCGAATGTAGCAGGTACGTTCCTGCCTCAGGGCCTTTGCACATGCTATTCTTTCTACTAAGAATTGCTGCCCACTCCCCACAAGTTTAACTCAAATGTTTCCTTCTTCCACTATGAGGCCTTTGAAATTAAAACAATGCCTCAACCCTCTTACCAGCTTTATTTTTCTCTACACCATGCGGTACTAGTTGGCACACTTGATGTCTTATTGGCTGGCATCCCACTAGGATGTGAGTTCTAGAAGGGCTGGGATTTTCGTCTATGCTCACTCTGTATTTCTTATATGATAGATGCTAGAAACATATTTGTGAATGATATTCATTCCTTTGAACCACTGTGTGCTAATCCAGGGCCTATATAACTCAAATATGTCATAGACAAAGTCTAGAAGGATGTCCCAACAAGCAGAGACACATGACAACACTGCTTTGATTTTGGGGATGGGATGGTGGGAAATATTTTTCTTGTATTTCTGTTATCTTACTAGAGAGCTGGTAATTTTATTTTATTTACTTATTTATTTAGTCCTCATCTGAGGATATTTTTCCATTGATTGATTTTTTATTTTTATTTTTAGGGAGAGTAGGAGAGAGAGGAAAAGAGAGCGAAACATCGATGTGAGAGAAACACATCCATTGGTTTCCTCCTGCACGTGGCCCCACCAGGGCCTGAGCCAGGGAGGAATCTGCAATCGAGGTATGTACCCTTGACCAGAATCAAACCCGGGACCCTTTGGTCCTCAGGCCTACACTCTATCCACTGAGCCAAACCAGCTAGGGCCAGTGTTGGCAATTTTAAAAGACTTCGTACAGAACAGTGAGATGGTGGAGAAGGATTAGACTTTAGAAACTGCACATGAGCAGGAAGTGGCAGGCATCAGAGTCATATAGGGTTGAGGAAGGGCAGAGTTCCTCCTAGGGGTGCTGGACCAGAGGATGGCAACCCTGGGGGCATCAGACCTGGTCTCTGAGCTACATCAACGCTGCCACCAGGAGGCAGGATTGCACAGGGATTGTTCTAAATGTGAGCGCAGAGCGTGGAGAAGCCACGATTAAGCACTAAGCACGGAGTGGCGTTTGTTGGGCCCTGTGTGCGGGCCTGAGGCTCCTCACACTATCCTAACCAGCCACCCGCTCACCTGCAGCCCATGCCGACCTCTGGGCCCTCTCGAGCTCGGCTAGGACAGCAGATGTTTGACCTCCTACAGGGCGAGGGCAACAGATCTGTCTCCTGCCTCTGCGTCAAACTGCACATCTCCCCAGCTCTTCTGACTTCCAGGAGGCTGGGAATCTGGCTTTTTCTGTGAGGCCTCCTGAGATATAGATATAGTCATGCATGTTTCACTAAGCTCATACAATTCTAGGCAGGCCAACGACCATGGACATGAGTTTGTGAGTTTCCTCCTAAGATTCTGTGACCTTCTGAATGGGAGAATCTAGGCCTCTGAGTCTTTGATTCTAGATTCCACTTCTCAGACTTGTGTCCGTGGTGAGGGAGCTGGAGGGTGGATGCTGCAGTCAGTGCCCTACGCCCTACGCCTCCCGCCCGCCCTGCCTCTCACTTGGGGAAGCTGCTGCCGATGAGGATCCGGCCCAGGGGGTACTCCTTGCCGCCCACGGTCACCGGTGGGCTGACGTCCAGGTTGCCGAAGGAGTCGAGGCCGGAGGCGCCAGCAAAAGGGATTTCCTGGGTTACGTATCCAAAGTCGGGGCCCTGTGGGAGGACCAGCAAGACATACACACACACATCCCCCAGAAGGAAGGGTCAGTTAGAACAGGAAAACCACCTCTATCCACTGGTCACAGAGTCCCCCACTCTCTGAGCGCCCTGCAATTCAAGTCCAAGTCAGTGAGACAACAACCACTAGAGAAGACCCCAGTGTTTGGAAATGAGGCGAGACTTCTGGAGAACCACAGGCTACAGCCAAGTGGACACTGGACAGCCCTTTGAACAGAAAGGTGATAAAAACATAGTACATGGAAGCTGTCCTTCTGAGGAAGCACTCAGCTCTGAACATGTATTAGGAAGGGAGAAGATTGACAACTCCCAGCTTCTGTTTCCAGCTGGGGCTGGGGGAGATGACAAATTAACCCAAAGAAAGTGAAAAGAAGGGAAGGATAAAGATGAGAGTGGATGTCGGGGGAAAATGCCCTGGTCAGGTCAAGCCCTTGACGCAGACTCATGCTGCAGGGCTCACTGTCCCTTTGCTGGGTCTCGTCCCTGACCCACCAGGCTGGGGTGAATGTCCTGCTCTGTGTGCCTGGGCACCCAACTTCCCCACCACAGCCCCCACTCAGACACCGGGGTTATCCGGGCAGTGGGGGCGTGGGGGCCGGTAGCAGGCAGAGACCCTCAGCCTCAGGACCTTTCTAGTTTAGCCTGGCAGTAAAGCGCGGGGGCTCTGGAGGCAGAGCTGTGTGGCCTTGGGCAAGTAACTTAACCTCTCTGAGCCTCAGTAAGGAGAGACTTTAGGTGCCCCCTGGATTAAATGAGTAACCTTGTCACGTTGGGGAGTGCCTGGAACTCCGTGCACAGTTGCTGGAGCTGCTCTTGTGTGTAGGAAACGGCACACGCCTGGCACACATTAGGTGTTCAGAAAATCTTTGTTACCTGAAGAGAGGCCCCAGCTCATAAAAGTAAGAGCCATGGGGATTTAACAAGGATGCATTCCCCTCAAAAGGCAGTTTGGTTTCCCCAGGGCTGACCCTTCTGTTGGCTCCCTCTTGGGGGAGAAAGGTCCTCAAGAAGATTGTATTAGCTAGCCCCTCCCACATGGAGCAATTTGCATTCTATTTGCATATTTGCTCGAACCTCCCACTGACACCCCATTTGCCATAGCCCACCACCTGTGTCCTTTTGCCCCCTCAAGGACCAGGACTCGGCAAAACTGATCGGGTCCTATAGCAGGAGCCACCCAAGGGTTTCCCACTCTGCCCTTTGCCACATACCAGGATCCTATTATAGGAGAACTCCTTCAGGCCTCTGTCTCGGGGGGAGTCAAAGACCACGGGGAAGGATTTGTGGGGTGCCTCCACGTAGCCAAATTCCATCTCGTCCTGGGAAGAGAGACGAAAAGACTCCAGTGACCTCCTTGGTATGTTACGGGGTGATCCCCCCAGGCCTGGGGCAGGACGGGGCAGCAGATCCTCCCCAAGATCTGGGGGGTGCAGGAGAGGTGGAGGTGAGGGCCCTTGGGAGCCTGGTTGGGAGAGAACTCTGTCTGGGACCAGGGCATTTGGAGGGAAGCAGGAGAGACTGGGGTGCTGCAGGCAGCGGGAAGCGTACCCCCGCCCCGAGTCCTGGGTCCCTTCTCTAGAGCCGGTTAGGAACCTGTGCAGGCCCCGTTCCCAAAGCCAGGTGAAGGCCGGGCTCAGGCCGCCCGAACCACCCCACTCTCCCCCAGGGTCTGCTCCTGCGCCCACCTGGATCCAGCGATCATTCCGATTTTCAACCCACGGGCAGATGATCAGCTTGCATTTGGCTTTGGACACCAGGTCAGACATGTCCTTCAGAAATTTCTCATTTGAGCCATGAGCGTCTATCACACTGCAAACAAAGGGAGAGGGGAGGGTGAAACAGCCTCTGACCGTGTGACCTTGGCTTTGGGGCCAGGAGGTGGGGGACGGATGGGGCGGCCTTGATCTAGTCTGTGCTGGGCCGTGTGGCCCTTGGATGCAGGGTTCAAGCACAGTCCTGCCTTAGAGAGACTCACAGGCTGGGAGACGGACAATGTCCCACTATCACATCAGGTGACAGGGGCGAGGTGAAGGGCTAGCCCAGGGCGAGGGAGCCCAGAGTGGGGCCCCAGCAGGAGCAGCCGGGGAGGAGGTGACCCACGGACTGGATCTCACTGGTTAAGGTGGTGGCCAGGGGACAGGTAGCCCATCTATTCCTGTTCCACACGCCTGACCTGCACAGGGGAGCAGGGTGGGGTTCGCGAGCCAAAGGAAAGAAAGAATTCCCTCTGAGCACCTGCGCAAGGTGAGCAGAGCAAACCTGTTTGGCCACACCCTTCCCTGCCTCTTGATTTACGTTTCAGGTCAACAGTGGCCCTTTCCTCTGGTCTGACCTCAATGCAGGGACCTGGGGTGGCCTTGCCAACCACGGCTCACCTCACCATCGAGGGGAGGGGCCTGACAAGGATTCTGGGAGATGGCAGGAGGACAGGGACCTGGGATGGGCCAGGGCTCTCAGTCTACCCTGGAGCCTGGGTTCCCACAATTTTTTCAGGCCCAGGAGCACCCCCACATCAGAGAGAGGCTGGGTCTCCTGCAGCCACCTGCAGCCTGAACAGGGCCTGGTCTCACTGCCTAGACCAGTGCTGGCGAACCTATGACACTCATTTTTTTTGGTTGATTTTTCTTTATTAAATGGCATTTAAATATATAAAATAAATATCAAAAATATAAGTCTTTGTTTCACTATCGTTGCAAATATAAAAAAATTTCTATATGTGACATGCACCAGCGTTAAGTTAGGGTTTTTCAAAAGGCTGACACGCTGAGTTCAAAAGATTTGCCATCACTGACCTAGACTGAACCCAAAATGTTCTGGGGCTGCTGCAGGCAGGACAGGGTAGAGGCAGGGGCACTGAAGGTTGAGTCTGTGACCTCATCCAGGGCCTTAGCTGCTCAGGGCAGGTGGGCTGACAGGCCCAAGCCCGCCCGCTGCTGTCCTGCTCCCAGCTTGCGCCTGTGGGAGCCCTTGCTGAGTCCATCTGGTCCGAGTGAGGGGTCCACCACAGAACAGCATCTGTTCCTAGCTCCATGATTCCAGAGATGGCAGGAGAGCTACAGTGTGTGTGTGGGGGGGGGCGGGGAATGAGGCCTCACCTGCACACATATAGCTCCAGGGGAGGCTGGGTGTTGGGAGTCATGATCCAGGGGGCCATGCGGAAGGCCACAGTGTCTGTGAAGATGGGCACCTCGGGCGGGGTCTAGGGGGAAACGAGGGGACTCAGTGGTCTGGAGCCTCCAAACTGGTCCCCCAAGTCCCTCAGCCCCATCTCAGCCTCCAGTGCCATACGTACCCCCATGTCCACCAGGCTGACGCTGAGAGAGACCAGCCCCGAGAAATCAGAATTGGGGAAGGTGAGTCCCTCCACAAAGAAGTTGATCTTCTGCTCCCCGGGCTGGCGTTCGACTTCGTAGGACAGATGCTGGGGCCCCAGCACCTGCTTGTAGTGTGAGAGGGAATTCCCACCTAAGGGAACCAGAGTCAGCACAGGGGCCGGGGCTGGGACAGGGTGTGGGGCTGGAAGGACAGGCGGAGAGGAAACCAGGGGCAGAGCCAGCTCTGTGCTCGATCTGCTTGGGCTCCTCTCCAGCTCTGCCAGGCACAAGCTGTGTGACGTTGGCTCAGTGACTCAACCTCTCTGAGCCTTAGTTCCTCATCTGCGAAATGGGCTAACATTATATTTCTCATGAGGTCAATTTAAGCTTCAAACCAGCTGGCACAAGAGGTGAAGACAACCCAAATGTCCATCAACAGATGAATGGATAAACGAATTGTAATATGTCCACACAATGGAATATTATTCATGCATAAAAAGAATGTAGTACTAATAGATGCTACAACATGGGTGAACCTGGAAAGTGTTAAGTGAAAGGAGCCAGACACAAAGACCACAGTGTATGATTCCACTTATATGAACTGTCCAGAATAAGCAAATACTTAGAGACAGAAAGCAGATTAGTGTTGGCCAGAAGCTGGGGGGCGGGGAGAATGGGGTGTGACTAGTAATGAGTACAGGGTTTTATTTGAGGGGGGGATGAAAATGTCTTGAAACTAGAGAGAGGTGGTGGTTATACAACATTGAGAATGTATGAAGTTCCACTGAATTGTTCCCTTTAAAATGGCTCAGTTTATGCTATCTGAATTTCACCTTGATTTTTTTAAATTGAGTAGTAACCCTGGCTGTGTGCTCAGTTGGTTGGAGCATCATCCCATGCACCAAAAGGTTGCGGGTTCAATTCTCAATTAGGCACATACCCAGGTTGCGGGTTTGTTCCCCAGTGGGGGCGCATACAGGAGGCAACTGATCCATGTTTCTCTCTCACATCAATGTTCCTCTCTCTCTAAAAATCAATAAAAACATATCCTCGGGTAAGGATTTAAAAAAAAAAGAGTAGTAATATCGAGAGAGAGGGGAAAAAAAAGTTCTGCCTGCCTCCTTCTCTCCCGGGAGCTGTCCATGGCGGGTCTGGTCTCAGCTGGGAAGGCTGCCAGTTCCCGCACCAAGACTTCTTCCTGCTCTGGTGTCACGGTGTTTCCAGCCTGGCCCCTGCCTAACCTGCCACCACTGATGCATTCAAAGGTTAGCCAGAACAACAAGTTCTGGGTCTGCTCGAACAGAAATGCATAAAGAGGAAGAAGGAAGGGGCAGGAGAGGCCTCTTGCTATGAATAAAAACAAGTAAGGGCACCTCAGGGTTAAGGATGAGTATCTTTTAAGCCACAGACTTTGATGAATTAAATCTCTGGCAGAGCAGAGCTCCCAGGGAAGGCCTGGGCCTCAGCGTTGCTGGTTCCTGCCCCCCTTCACCCCCACTGGACTGTGCTTGTCGGGGCATCGGGGGCTCATCCCGAGCTGAGTGACCAGAAGGAGAAGGAGGAGAGGACATGGGGGCAGTCAAGAGACCTGGGTTCGAATGCTTGCTCCGCCCCCAAATGGTTGTGTGACCTTAAGACAGTAAATTCAAGCATCTGAGCCTCAGTTTATCCCTCTGTATAATGGGACTAGTTATCGAGTCTCCTTCTTGAGTGACATGTTGTGTCCGGATGGAGTGGCTGTTTGTAAGCTGTAATGAGAGTTACGAAAGGTGATAGAAGGAAGAGAGATGTGGACGAGAGAAGAAAGAGCTTGGGAAGCGGAGGATGGACAGGGCAGGACACGGGGCCACTCACCCCGAGCACAGAAGACGCCCACTCTTTTGGAATCAGAAAACGGCACGTTCAGGACCAGCTTGTGGCTGTCGAAGAGCTTGTCAGGGCCGTCGCAGGTCAGCACCATGGGGGACATGTCCTTCAGGTCTGAAGCGAGTGGCACCCTTGAGACAACCCTCCCTCTACCCCGCTGACCGGCTCCTGTCCCATCCCCTCTGACCCTTACCACCCCACACCATCACCCTGAACACCACCACCAGTCCCTTCTGTCGCTCACCCTCCAGTGACGTCAGCTGGCTGTTTTCAAGGTCGAGCCCCCTGGACCTGAGATCGTCGCGGTCACAGTTCACCAGCAGAATAGCCCCGTAGCCCGCAGGGCCCCAGCGCCAGGTTTTCTGTGGTAAAACAAAGACCTTGGGGTCAGTGGGACCCAGGGGGCTCTGGGAAGGGGTTCTGGACATGGCTAGCGCTGGCTGCTTTGGTCACTTGGAGAACATTGTATCCTGTGTTTGCTTAAAGAATTACATGCCCGGCCGAAACCGGTTTGGCTCAGTGGATTGAGCATCGGCTTGCGGACTGAAAGGTCCCAGGTTCGATTCTGGTCAAGGGCATGTACCTGGGTTGCGGGCACATCCCCAGTGGGAGATGTGCAGGAGGCAGCTGATCGATGTTCCTCTCTCATCGATGTTTCTAACTCTCTATCTCTCTCCCTTCCTTTCTGTAAAAAATCAATAAAAAAAAAAAATGTAAAAGAATTACATGCCCGGCCGGCGTGGCTCAGTGGTTGAGCGTTGACCTATGAAGCAGAAGGTCGCGGTTTGATTCCTGGTCAGGGCACAGGTCCAAGTTGTGGGCTCCATCCCCAGTAGGGGGTGTGCAGGAGGCAGCTGATCACTGATCCTCTCTCATCATTGGTGTTTCTCTCCCTCTCCCTCTCCCTTCCTCTCTCTGAAATCAACAAAAATATATTTTAAAATGGTGGGTTTTTTAAAAATATTTACAGAGGGCTCATAGATTTGGGGACGGAGCTCCATCCAGGTCTCATTCACCTCTGTGGGGTGAATGACCTGAGCCACCGTACACAGCGGCCCCACCCGGCCATCAGTCACCATACTCAGCACAGCCTTCCTTCGCCAGCCTGCCCTTCGCCAGACTGCCCTTCGCCAGCCTGCCCTTCGCCAGCCTGCAGGGTGTGGCCCTGCCAGGGCAGAGGCTGCCTCGCTCTGACCTCGATGGGACTGAAGAGGCCTGGAAGACCCTCCTCATCCCCGCACCCTCTGGGGCCTGTGCTCCCACAGCCCCGCAGGTCCCACACGGAGGCCCGAGGCGGGACGGATGGCTGGAGCCCTGCCCCCGTGGTCCATCGAATGATCC